GCCAAGAATAATACGGAACACTTCTCGCTCCTGCAGGACAGGCGTCATCTCAGGATGGGAAGACAGCTACAGAGAGTACACCATCGTGCGAGTCTACTGCACCGTAGAGAGCTTCAATGTCTGTCTACGTTTGCATAGCAATAGCACACATTTAAGGGACAAAAGCAACATGCATATCCCCTTGTTTGAAGGAGCCGATTCGATCACATGAATAAGTCTGTGAGTGCGATATTAGGCGAAGTCGGCCCGAAGTCGGAGCTACATGTATTGTAGTCATATGTTTTGTGGTTTTGGGACTTTACTGAAACATACTGTCCAACTACACAGCCCTCAGGGTCAAAACACATTCTATGTTCACCTACACACCATTTGGTATCAGCCCATACGTCACCTTTATACAGCGACACAAAAAAATACGCGGAAGGGATTGATTTGGGAAAATCACATTATGTGTAACAAATTATTAGTTGGAGCTACCGTATCAAGGCAAAGGACGGAAAGCCCGCCGAGGGTGGTTGTTCAATGCGATAATAAATTTAATTCGCATGCATACAACAGAATCTGCTCGCCCAGTGCAGTATCATCAGGAAAGGTCTTCATTCCACGTTGGACGTAAAATAAAGTTAATAGTTATATCCCCGATGAATAAACACGACTATCATTTAAAAACAAGTGACGATACTCAAAACAATACTGAGAGAAAATGAAAAAGAGCGCGATTCCGACTGAAGTCGGACACCAACGACACTGCCACAAAATCCACATGATAAGGCTGGCTAACAATTGCTGCAGACAGCGACATGATTTTCTTGCAGCATTACCTTGAAAAAAAAAAAAGCGAGAGGGGGACATAGTAAAACGTTCTGAAATGGGAATTTGAACTCACGATCAGCGCCACGATAGCATACCCAACTGCACGTCAAGCCACTATGCCACCAAAACAGCCAGACAGTGGCATCTAAAATCAATAAAAATTTACGGCGATGGTCCCCCCTACCGTAGTCATTGCTTTACGATGCATAGACTGCTGCTATAGCTGCATCGCTATTATGACTGGCCCCGTCACTGTTACATTATTACTACAGTGACGGGCCCCGTCACTGAAGTCACAATTACACTATGCTGACGGGCCCCCTCACTCTAATGATAGTAGTGAGTTGGAGGGCCTCTTTACCATAGTCACTGCCTTTTCAATATACCATATTTACTCGCATAATGAACGCACTTTTTTTCTTGAAATAACGGGGCAAAGTTGGGGGTGCGTTTATTATGCGGGGCAAATTTTATTGGAACTATTTCGGGATGAGCAAAAAATACGGTAATGCAAAAAAAGTTACCTATGTCGCTCAGCCTTTAGCGATTAACATTCATGCACACCGTATGAAAACAGCTTTTGTTGCACTTTACTCATCTTTGGTGATTGGTGGCATTATCTTCTGCAAGCTGTCCCCACATACGCCATAAAAGGGTTTTGCTGCTATCTTTTCTCGCACTCATTTACCATTTACCCGCTACAGTGGTATATGCTGTGATCTCGAGGTGCACCCAGAAGTGTGCACAACACTACGATGCACTTTGCCAACTTCGCGGCAACCAACATTGCAGCAAGCTACCCTCAAAGCATCAAAACAAACCGCCCATAACAAGATCAACGACAAAATAGGACGGCCACCTCGCTTTGACATGAGATGTTCCTGTACATGCAGAAAACAAACGAAGCGAGAATCTGGGGTGCTACCATGTTGCGAAAATCATCACGCTTTTCTGGGCAACAAGCGATGTTTTCTGGCTTTCCAGAAACCTGCGACACGATAGCAACGAATGACCCTTCGTAACAGCAAGTCCTGTTGTCGTTGTTCAAAAATTGTGTGCACGTGGTTAGGCCTTCATGTTTCGTATTTGCAGGAAGTGACCGTCAGTTCGCGGGGGCAGTTTCGTGACCTTGGATCGGTGTGTGCTTATCAGGTGCAACATCTCTGCACTCGCACCGTTCGTGAACCCTGCTGTGGCACACAGATAAAAACATGGTGTACGACGTGCAGCGCACAGATGAAAAAAACATATGGCACGTGGCAACGAGAGCAAAGGGGAGGAGGTAGCGAGCCGAGGTGGCTGAGCAGGGTTCGCATAATAATAAAAAACAGAAGAGATCCAACTGGTAAAAAGGCGCTAGGTTTCGGTTAACGGGACTCCAGCGATGAATGTAGGGAGTGCGTTTGTTATGCGGAGGAAAGAACTTCAAATTTTGATGAATGAAGTTAGAGGTACATTTATTATGTAGTGCGTTCATTACGCGAGTAAATAAGGTATACACTTTTGCAGTTTACTTTGCATTTACTTCTATAGAATCCTTTTGCTGTTTAGTACATAACATATACATGTCTATGGCACAAGTAGTTTCAATATACAGTCGAGCCCACATAGAACGGCCCCACAAACGAACAATATCCCCGTAACCCTGAAAATCTACAATGCTTCAATGGCACAAAATCGCACTCACAACGAACATCTCCAAGTGCCGCTGATCGGTTACAGTGAACAGAGTCGGCACTATGCCGACTTCCCAGGAAACAACTTTCGACCAGCGATCAAGCATCGGCGAGGTGCCCATACATTCTTATTGTTAAACGCCGACCCTGCCTCCGCGACCCTCTAGTTTCTGCTCTCCCCCATCGCTTTTTGTTACGCACCCCTCCGTCCTTTGTCCCCCCACTACTCTGCACCCCGCATCGACAGACGAGGCCCGTGTTTTCACACTGCCACCGATCTTTCTAAGACCGGTCGGCCATCTACCCTGTTTTTGATCGCTGGTACTGTCGTTGGCGTGGCCGGCCTGCAGTGACCAGACCATTCACCAACATCGTCGGCCACCGACTGTATCCGATTGTCTGCGTCTAGTGCACGCGCGTACACTACCCCACCGACTCTGATAATTTGCGATTTTCGGACTTGTTCTCGCTCACTTCGCACTCGACTCAGTATGCCCTCCGCACGCGTGCGGAAGCACTGAAAACGGCTGTTAATGTGCATGGAACGAATAGAAAAATATTGAAGTTGATGAGGCCATGCAAACCCCCCGGCACGGGTTTCAAATTCAAAAACTCTTTCTCAAGTTTTTTTACGTGCGAGTTGCGCGTTTCGTGGACCTTTCTTCTTTATGTGATTCCTAAAGGGAAAAGAAAAAAATCAAGCCCCGTAACTGTCTGCATCAGAGTGTGACACCATAACAGTAGCTCACAAGGGATGGGGGTAAGGAGAGATTAAAAGGATAGGATTAAAAGGTATATATAGAGAAAGGAAGGAGAGAACGAGGTGCAGGGACAGCAAGCGAGGAGAGTAAAGAGGAGATAGGAAAGATGGACATGGTCGCAGGGGTCCGAGGACGGGGCACCACTCAGCGAGAGCTCATTTTGGCGGCAGGAGATGGCGTAGGGGAGCCCAGTTGGCCAGAGCTGCGTTGTCGTCAGAGATCGCAGGGGCACAACCGGTTGGCACGAAATACAGAGAGCGAGTCCAACCTTTCAAGCAAGCTACCCAACCTGCCTCCTTCCCATGTTTTTTGGTATTCAAGGTCGCCCACATGCCGCATCCTCCCCTCTCTTCACTCTATCGCAACTCCTTGCCCTTCTCTCGCAAATCTGCTCTCCTCTCTTATCACAACCCCTTCGACCGTCTCCACCGCTTCGCTACTCTAGCAACGCTGGCTCGAATTACTTTCGTTTACTGACTAGAAACAAATCCAGAGCTGTTCCACGCGTTCTGGCATGCGTGTCGCGTGTCCGCGTCTTGCTCGCTCTTGATGTGAGTGAGTGGTCAGGATGGCAAACGGGAGGACTTGCACGCTTTTTCCTGCCGCTCAACAAAACGTCGAAAGTGTGACCGCTTGGCTTGAGCGTAATCGGCGCGTTAGGTGCCGCGTTGCCGAGCGCTTGCTCATAGCTGTTGACCACCTGGCAGCCAACTTGCCGCTTGGGGGTCCCGGTATTCAGCTGTGGAGATGGTGAATATTTCGTGGGTGGCAGTGACGGCTACACGCGCGCGAAACTGTTTTCGCGCGGCCGACTTCGTCGACGTCGGGCCTGATGTCGAGCCTGAAGCTTCCGAACATGATCACTCCAGCAGCGATTTGTGGCAGCGCGTCGTCGACTCCGACCTAGGAGAGCGGGTGGGACATCTGTAGCGATGGTTTAATTACGGCCGATGTTGCCGCCGACACGACGGAACCGTGCACGAATTAGGGCATAGCGAACGAAGCACGGGGCGAAAGCGATTTGAAGGAATCGGATTGCGAGAACGACGAAACTTTGGAGCCAGTGCCTCATGCAGCTTATGCCGCAGGACTCGGCGTACGAGCACCCTGCTGTTTTGAATGAACTCGAGACCGCCCTTATCGCTTCTGCTCTATCAAACATGTGCACCACGAACTTTTTAGGGTAAAAAAGTTTGTGTTTTCACACGAAACCTTTTCAAAAGCTGTGTTTTATTTACAACAAACTTCGGGATACAGCGAACGTATGCCGCATCAGGCTCAGGTTCGTTATAAGCGGGCACGATTGTATACTAATTGCAAAACTTCATTACATTAGCACCACGTGCAGTGGTTGCATGTCAGCAAATGGCAAAGAATCACACCGCATACTACGCCACACATGTGATTGTTTTGAAGAGACACTATAAACAAAAACAATTTTTCTTGTGCGTACAGTCCCCACGTAACATTCCTGCCAAGAAAAGACACCTGACAAATGATGAGATGTGCTAAAAGAGGAGCATGCAATGAGCAAGGGAATGATAGCTGTACAACCATGATACAGCAAAAATAAGGTGTGCTTGAGCAGCAGACCTCTAACCGCTCTACCACACTAGTTGAACACTAAACAAAGCAGCACACCAGGCCTCCATAGGATGTGTCCACAAACCAACCACCAACCTGCATGATTTGTGCAAGACCAACAAAGTCCACAGCCAGTGTCCCACAGAAAACAAACATTAGAGCAGAATGCACTTGAACAGTCAGTTTATTCTCACAATGATGCCACCTATCGAGTGATTTTCCCAATAGCCCCACTCAACGATTCAGTTGTTCCAGACGCTATAGAATGCTCACACCTTCAGTGTCACAATCACACAATGAGAAATGGCCGGGTAAACGAGATGCTATTTTACACGTCCTGCGCGTCCTCGGCCGCAGCCGAGTCGGATGAGCCGTCCTGCTGGCGTTCCTTGTTCGCCACAAACAGGTAGGCCAGCGTCTGTGCCACCTGCACCTCAGTGTCTGCGTCAATCTCGAGCGCTGAGGACACCTTAGCGTCCGGCCCACCTGCACCCTGTTCTCGCGCGCGTTTTCGTGTCCGAGGTGCGGTGCCGCGCCGAGGCGTCGACCGCGCCGCTCGCGTTGCTGCGCGCTTGCCACCCTTGGCCGGCGGGGCCGGTGCGGCCACCTCGGCGGATTCCTCGATGTGGCCATTGAGCACAGGCTCTTCTCCGCGTTCAGCACCGTTAGCGAGCCTCCGTTCTGCCTGCATTCGGGCCAGCTGCTCTTTGGCTTCGCGCAGCTGCTGCTGCAGCAGGTAGATGGTGCTCTGCATGCCTTCCACCTCCTCGTCCAGCTCCAGCAGGAACTCGTCTTGCTCTGTCTGGCTTTTCTTCATCTCCTCGCTGAAGTTGCGCTGCAGGGCCAGGTCACCCTCAAGTTTGGCCATGCGACCGGACGAAATCATTTTGCCCAGCTCCTCATTCTCCTGGTAGAGCAGCCGGCACTTGGCCATCAGCCGCTTGCCCGTGTTGCTGCGTGCGACAAGAACCAGCTTTCCTCTCACTCGTCATCAAGTGGAACAAACTTTCATTGACAGAAGTCTCTTAAACAGAGTAACTGCAGTAAAAATGTAGCACCTGCACCTGATTTGATTGGTTCCTCAACTTAATCCTGCAAGCCTGTTCACGTCTCATCAGGTAGAATGATTATATTTAACGAGTGCAATGTTCCACAACAGGCCCCTTAGTGCACCTTAAAGAATTATTTTGGTGCTACAGACATTTACCCTATTTTCAGGCACATAAAATGCATGATATGACAAAAGCCAACAGTCTGTGTTGTTGCTACATTTTTAAACAAAGCTCAAAATTCGTTGAGATGGCGCAAAACTATTGGAAAATTTTTGAGCACAACACAATGCATAGGCAAGGCATTCACAAGCACACATCTCGTCTGTCTAGTTTTTGTGAATATTTTCTTAGGAGCTCCCAAATTTCCCAATCGGCACATTTATTCATGGAAAAATCGCAGCAGCATCTGAGGACACAAACGGTTCAATGCAACAGAAGTTGAAGGGGCACTCAATGCTTCCAAATCGTGCTGCTCTGTTGCCTTTGAAGCCACAAGAATGATGAAGCTTGCATACTGTACTCATTCTCCATTGATTAGGTACAGAAATGTAGATCAAACTGAACTTGAATAACAATTCAGCGTAATAAAATTGGCCTGGAGTTACAAATATGGCAGAACATGCTACACAGCCCACTTCCATGCCCTCATGGAGTATGTTTGCTAATTTCACACATTTGACTAGGGACACAATAATGAAATTATTGATAATTATTCACTTTCTATAATTGGTATTGTGATTCCCTATGCCCTCTTCTCTCCTGTGGGAAAACATCACACGAGTTTTGTAGCACCAATTAGAATGAATTGCTCTATTCTACTTCGCCTTAGTCTGCGAACGTTGTACTCTATAAACATATTACCAATTAGCACTCAAGTTGGAGCCAGCACAATGCATGAAATACGACTATTACATCACCAAAAATTAACGATTCCATAAAAAGAAACTTCTAATGTATCCTTGGAAATTCAAACTTGAAGTTTTGAAATCACGCCGCCACGACAGCACTAGCTCCATGACAAAATAATACAATGCAAAAAAAATACTACAAATAGCTTCACGCTTCCGAAGTATGCAATATACATTGCATAAGGTTTTAGAGGTATGGTGCTATTTATAATTCATATTACACTGGGTTAGCATGGAATTGGCTTTTTAGTTATGTTGGCGTTAAATATTATTATCTCAATTACTCGGTGCACTTTGCATTTGATTCCGCACCATTAATCCTGTCGGCCCTAGTGGTGTCAATTGACACCACCGCACAACACTTCCCTTAGCATCTCGAAAACGTAACTAATACTGCTCATTTGTGAGGGAATGGTTCTTCAAAGATCCACACAGCAGTTGACATCAATACTGCGGCACAATTGTGAAGGTAGCAACCACAAAAAAGAAGAAGCACGAGCGAAGTCTTCAGTGACTTCAGCTCGTGCCGGAGCGCATAAGGTGAGGCTGGTAAGCACCATTCTCGGGACGTCGTATCAACACTGTTCCAATGAGTATTAGGCTGACAAGTAAAACATTGGTTCTCATTTTGTGTATCCTAATAATTAGCAGGAATAAAGAAGCCATTTTTCTCATTTTCCAATAACTGAGCCCTGATGACCTAATATGACACCACACTAATTAATCCGAAAATGCTTGGTCCACTGGCTCAATTTTTCGTTAGTGGTCTCCTGAGGTTCTCACTATGAGAAAAACACTCACAAAACGTATACGACCAAAATAAAAAAAATCCAGAGCTGAAATAGTTAAGTAACACGATTGAATCTCGATAATTCAAACTTGAAGGAGCCCAAAAACTTGTTCGAGTTAATGAAAGCTAAATGAACGAAGGGCTCACCAAGCAGTGGAGCATGTGCATTGAGCTAACACACGAGGAGGAGGTTTCAGAAGACTTACATTTATTCACAAATCACAGGACATTCGTCATTATTTGAAGTAATCGGTGATGCGCGTCTGCACTCGTTTGCCTTGTAGTGAGTCAATCAATTAGCACGCAGTTTGCAAAGCGTTTCTACTTCGACTTCAGCATTCTCCTGGCGAAATAAGTTGCGCGCAGCAATGTTCAGCGGTGACACTCTCTAAAGACGATGGCAACGACTGCATCTCTGCTGTGACCCTCTGCATCGCAGCTAGGAGCGTGCCCAGCACATGACGAGAAAGAAAGAGCGTCTCCACGCGGAGAGAAGCAGATCGGTATTTGAGAAAGAACCAACAGTCCTCAGTAGCTTCTAATTCTTTTTTTTTTTTTTTGCTCTCATTGCGTGAGGTCTTAAAAAGAGAAGGGTCTCTATGTGGCAGGGACAGGAAAAGGGGAATCGTGGCACCGGCGCGTCGCAGATCGGCATTAGAGAGAGAGACAACACTCTACGACAGCTGTTTTTTTTTTTTTTGCTCTCCCTCTTCGTGCGCGGCGTTGAAAGGAGAAGGGTCTCTACGTGGTAGGGACGGAAAAGAGAGAAGCGTGGCACAGGCGCGTCACACATCGGCATTTGAAAGAGGGTAAACATTGCACCGCGGCCTTTTCTTCTTTTTCTTCTTTGCACGCAGCGTAGAGGTGTCGAAGGTGCCGCAATGGTATTGGGCGTGGTGCTGAGAGCAGTTTCGCAGCGCGGTATGTTCGAATTAATTATTGCAAGTGCTTGTGCGTTAGAATTACAGGGCTTTTTCGTTCATTGAAATACACATAGCTTTGACGGGACCACACCGTTAGGTTCGAATTAACCGAAAGTTCAAATTAGGCGTGTTCAAATTAATGAGCTTCAACTGTATCTTTATCGAAAGATATGAGTGGTTTTGAGAACCTTCACAGGAACGAGTTCACAGGGTGTGGAGAAACGGACAGGTTTATAATTTAAATTGGAAAATAAATTCTGTGGCCTCACCAGCCAAAACATATTCATTAGAAGGCATGCCATAAAGTGTGACTATAAACACAGTAAAAACTGCCTATGCGTTAACGAAAAAATAAACCGCCTAAGCCACCCTCATTTTCATTAACAATATGAGCTCCTTCTCTTCAAGAGTTTCATTGATTCCGTACCAGACCACAACTTAGATAGCAAGCGACCGCTACCGAAATGCAACCAACGCTAGTTAGGCCCAGTCTGCCGTTCGGTATGTTGTCAGGAGAAGTTTGTCCAAGCAATGATGATTAGCTGTCAAAAAAATCACACTCTAGTACTGAACCAAGAACAGCGTGCATTTGTGTTCACGTTTGGGAGATCAATGACGAACACCCACCAAGCTTACATAAGACCTTGAAGAAGGAACAAGCTTGCGTGATAAAGCCGTAAAAGCTTTCAAATTCAATGAACAAGTAGCTGAGATATCTGTAGCAAGCTAGATAACGACGACACTTTTCCAGGCAGGAAACTCGAGCGCAGTTGATAAGGAAGGCATCGCACATGGCATGTCGAGCCACGCGCAGCCGGCAGGCAGGCAAGCGGCTGGAGCCACGCTACAATGCTAGTACACTATAGCCGCGTCGGCGCCGATGCAAAGGCACTCTGGGCAACTGCCCTCCCTCCAGACTTTTTTTTTCCTTTTCTTTTTCCTCCCTCCACCCTTCGTTCATTCACTTTGTAGTCCCCCTCCTCCTCCGTATCGACTTCATTGCTCGCTACCCAGCGGCGCACTCGGCATGCCTCTTTTCATACGCAGATCCCCTGCCACGTTTGTCCCAACTATTTTTCGAACACTGCCTTATAACTGGCCTTTCATCTTGGGGGACTGTACAATAAGCGGTATGTATATACATGAAGTTTTACGGGAGGGTAAACAAAATTCAAAAAGACCCACATTATAACCGGTCCTGTACCAGTTAGGTTATAAGTGGTTTACACTGTATTTGTTACCATAGGTCAGTAAAATAAATGGACTCCATGCAGACTACTTATTAAATATGTTTTTTTTTTTCATGTAGGACTCCCTGACACCACGACTAACCAAAATTTTGCTGAAGCGAACACACTCGGACTCAGACTCATTATTATTCTCGCCAATAGGACTGATACTGCTTACCAAAAGTTTCCGCATGCAGACTCACTCGGACTCGGACTTAGACTCACCTTAGTGTAACTCAGCTGGACTGACTCAGACACGTAAATTTTCCTGAAGCGAACTAGCTCAGACTCACCTAAGTATGACTCAGCAGGACTCTCACCTCAATCTGAGTCTGAGTGAGTCGACGCATGAGTAAGTTTGCCAAGCTTAACAGACAGTAAAAGAACAGAGTGGTGTGGAACAAATGGGGGTTAAGGATATCACACTAGTTGAAATCAAGAAGGAATGGACATGGGCAGGACACGTAGTGCGTAGGTCGGATAACAGCTAGTCATTAAGAGTAACTGACTGGATTCCAAGAGAGTGAGAGGTAAATCAAGAATATGGAAGGCGAATCAGATTAACAGTGTTTTGGAGCATCTCAGGGAGCAGGAATAATGCTGTTTGGAGCAGCTTTAGCGCAATAAAACAAGGAGTTTTGTGGCACGTTCGGAGCACCGAAAGGTGCGTTTTGGAGCAACGCGAATTAGTTTTGGAGCAGCTTTCTAGGGTCAAACACCATCATCAATCAATTATTTCTGGTAAACAAAAATCCAATGGCTTTCAATGAACTGTCAGTACTAATGAGCTCATAGGCTTACTGCCTACAAGGTTTTGCCAACAAGCGTAGGCAGAAACTTGTTGGCATAGACTTACTGCCTCCAAGCGTCTACAATGTAACTTGTAAGCATAGACTTACTGCCTACAAGCACCTACAATGTCGCGTGCCTGCGCGAGCTTTCTACAGCCCTGCGAGACATGCTCCTCGTGCTTGTGCTCGTAACAGTGGGCTGATCTGCTGGCTGTGAGAAAGGTGTTTGAAAGAGAGATTCGTGTGGGACGTTTCAGCGAACTCATTTATTTCACCTATTTTTCTGGGCACAAGTTCGCCCTTATTAAAACTATGGTTTATGTAACCCTCTTGCAATATGCAACATTATGTACAGCCGAAAGCAGATAATGTTCGTTCTGTTGCTATTTCACTCGCTGCATATCCCGGACCCTATAATAGTTTCGAAATGCTCCTTGGCGTCACCACTGCACGCTGTAAAACGATCATGCGAGACTGGTAGCCAAGTATCTTTTTCGCACTCTGGCAAAAAGGAAGGTAAGACTTTCTGGTGGGTAGTTCGGGCAACATCTGCTGTGGTGCTGTATTTCTTTGCTGGTGGCAATGGGGCATGTCCGGAGAAGGACATTTGCCCTTGTAAGCGCACAATGCCGCTTAGTGCATGGTCACGCCAAGTTGTCGGCTGGTGCAAATTATCGAGGTTTTACAGTATTACTAGATAATTAACAGTTAGTCATCGTAGTATCACTACTTTGGTGTGAAAACCACGGGGATAACAGCAATGAGACAAGTACTTACAAGCACCACGAAAGAACCGAATTACGTGGTCGAACTCCACCGGATAAGAATGCGGCCGCGTCCTTGGTGTAGCCAACGCTCACTTTTGCTCGGTCGACTATATTAATCGACTACATTTAGCCACTTACACTTTCAATCAACAATCATCGTGAAAATGCCATTTATGCGCAGCCTGGCGCAGCACTTACACCCCTGCATTAAGAAGTTCGCAGGTATAATGTGGCAGCAGAAAGCACAGGAGCAGGTTGATGGGCGGAACAGGGGAGACGAATTTGCCCTGCAGTGCACATAAGGCTACTGATGATTAATGTATGGTCCTACAGTTTTTGCTGGCAAATGGCTATACCAAGCATTGCATACAGCCAATAATATGCTATGACTCTCGGATGCTGTTCACCTTCGAAATATCATGCCACGAAAAACTTTCACACTACTGTGGCCAGGAAATGTCAATTCAAATCAGATTTAGATATGGCACTTTCTCCAGAGGACAAAAACCAAGTGGGTACCTGTCAGGGGTGAACTTCCAGGCGCTTAGTTCATTCTGGGTCTCCTGCAGGCGGCTGCGCATAGAGTCCACCTCACGTCGCATCCGCTCAAAAAGCAGGTTGACAGCGGGGTCCAACATCGCAGCACGCAGTTGCTGCGTCCACCCTGCGCTGCCCCCTTTCAGCGCCTGGATCTGGTGCTGTAAAAGAGGGACGTCAATTTTTACAGGGTGGCTTCAAAAGAAGAAAAACTGAAATTTTATGAATAGCAGCAGCCTCAGTGAAGATATTGAGCACTTGAAGTCAACACCAAGACGGAAAAAGTTACACACAATTGCATCCTCAACATGGCGAAGTACATCATACTATCGTAGTTCATGGTAGTGTAAGTGGAATTTTCAAGAACCAGCTAAACGTCATCGTGAGAAGCAAGCCTGCTTTACCAATGCACACATCCCATAAAAGCCATGATCGATGGTGGCCTACCTTCAGCAACACTGACCAAATTAGTTAGATCTGAGTAGCCGACACTATTGAAGTACTCTTGGTAGTACCGATGCAAATAGCAAAATTTCGGGCATGAAGCGAATTCGAATTGAGGTGTGAGTACGAACGGAATCAAATACTTCTTGAAGATTTCTAGAATACTTTCTGAATACTTTGAAGTGGAATTGTGGTAGAAATGTTCGAGAGGATTCCTAAGCATATTTTTATGAGATGGCAACGTGAAAGTGATTCTTTTCACTAGGATTGATGAAGCGCTGGCGTTTCACAGTTAACTTCTCACTGATTTTTCGTTCCTCTTTAAAGCTAGCTGTCATTCTGGATAATTGGCCTATCATCCGGCTAGTGGCAGTGTGACGTCCCCGCAAACAGGGACTGAACCCCGGTCCTTTCAAGATGTTTTCGCTCGTTTCTCAAACCCATGCATGAAAAAAAGGAAAAGAAAACCTTCAATGTAACGAATGGGCATTCCGGAGTGGAGTACCTGGAAGGATTATATCTACTATTCTCACGGGCTCCCCGCGCAAACACGAGGACCGGGCAGCGCCTTGTCGTCTACAGACCGTGTGACAGTGTACGGTGGAGATAATCCGCGCGCACCCTTCAGATATGTGACACGGGGGAGCAGCAGAGCACCTTTTGATGGTTCACGGAATGCGATGCTGCCGCAGCGCCTGTGCCGGGTCCAGTATGACTTTCCGTCAGCCTCCGTGGCTCCAGGGCTCATTACTGCGTTCTGCGCGGATGGCCTCCCGCGGCGGTGAACGACGAAGAAGCGGTGGCTACGGAGAATTTCGTGGGAGACACCGAGCTGCATGGAAACGTTGAGACTTGGTCTGGACATCGGCTCACCAAGTACCGGAAGCATCGGGACCATTGTTCGCCCGCAATTAAAGTGTCTTCAGATGGCTCGCCCATCACTCTCCCTGAGGCTTGAGTTGGTACATTGGTACTTGCTCGGCTTTGTTTGGGAGAGGGTTCTCTACTGGTGCGGGCCGCGCTGAGCGGCCGTCGAAGATGACACACACCGACTGACAGAGAAATATGCCGCGTCGATGGTGGCGATTGGTTTGATGCCCCGGAAGGGCGGAGTCGGGTCCTACAAAAAGGGGTCAGAGATACGATGCGAAGAGGGTCAGAGATACGATGCGATGAGCTCGAGGTGGTAGAGAGACGGAATGGAAAAGGAAGATAACGGTGTGAAGAGATAGCAATGAGAGTCGATGAGATGATGACTGAGGCAGAGATGATATGACGAGGAATGAAAATTAGAGATGGGAAACGAGGAAGCGAGTGATTGCGGGACGTTATGAAAGAAGATTAAGATGGAAATCGCCGAGAGAGGCAACGAAGACGACGAAGATGATAAAGACCGACCACATGGACCATTCGTGAGACGAACTTCACCTCCTTTACTTAAACGAGCTTTGCGGGAAGCGATGCGGCATATTGAGACATTGCGCGGTTTTATTAATTAATGACTTTACCATTTGTGTCGTCCTGTGTTTACTTTGTATCGCCGCACCATTGTATTGTCTAAGTTATTTCCCTTATGTATCCTGCGTCGCACGTTGCGAGGGTGTAAATCATGTGTTATAATTTTGTGTAGTGGTTGATGTATGCGGGTATACGATGTTTGCAGTTAGTATTAAATTTAATGAATCAGTAAACAGAAACAGGTCGTAGCGTCTCTTACTTTCCCGGCCCCAGCACGAATCCCTGTATGTGGAAAGTGTTTGAGACATGTATCCAAGAGGGAACCGGATAAAAAGGGGTTGAGTGGTCTTCCCTCTCTTTGGTAATCGGTGGCGTAACGGGGGACGTCTCAGCAGTTCACAAAAAAGGAAACCACTTAAAAAAAGAAAACTACTGCCCAACATCCCTGACATCACCTTGCTGCAAAATACCGGAATCATAGATTTCAAATACCGAGTTTATTGAACGTAATAAACTACTATCTGATCGCCAACATAACTTTCGTAAACACCTTTCAGCAATCACTACTATTCATGAGGTTGCTTAGACCTTCAATTCGGCCGATCATATTGATTTTTTTTTTCAGCAAAGCTTTTGACTATGTATACCACAGTAAGCTTCTAAACAATCTTCACAGACTTGGCCTACCATCTTTTATTAAAAATTGAACAAAACAGTACTTATCTAACTGAACTCAGTTTGCTGATGTCGATGGGTGCTCATCCCCCGCATGCTAGTTACATCTGGTGTGCCTTAGGGAAGCATCTCGGGACCACTTCTTTTTCTCATTTAGGTGAAAGACATTGTCGCGACTGTGTGCCCCGATGTTGAAATTAGGCTGTTTGCCGATGATTGTTTGATTTACAAAAAGTCAACATTCCAAAAACACCAAATTTTATTAAACACCAGTTAAGCGAAAATCCACGAATGGCGCACTACAAAGTAAGTGTCCCTCAATTCTGAAAAAAAACTCTGCTGTTATGCATAAGTAATAAAAGACAACCTCTCTTACACACACATGAAAGTAGTATTGACACCGTCACAGAAGCCACAAAGCTCAAATATTTGGGATTGACAATTTACAACAAACTTGCAAGATCCCTGCCACATCATAACAAATTCTGTACAGCAACTACTTACAAACTTGGCTTACTTAGGCACAAACTGAAAAACACCCCCCCCCCCCCCCCCCTCGTGCAAAGCTGCTCACCTACAAAACATATGCCTAAAGTTGACTATGTGAGTGTAGTTTGGGATTTCCAATAAAAAAAAAAAAAGATAACCTATAGTCTCAAGATAGTACAGAGGCGAGCAGTATGCTTCCTATTTCACAAGTATAAAAGAGCAGATTGACCGTCATCTCTCTAATGCTCCCAAATAAGATTCCAACCATGGAGCAGCGCAGGAATATATCAAAACAAACTTTTATTCTTGCTTTATCACTAGAGACAATGTGAATGCATATGCATATTTTATATTTTTAGCCATTTTTGTTACGCACATTGAGAAACTGACATGCAAATAATCTACTTTCTTATCAAATGCACACAAATCTTTTCAAGCACTCCTTTTTTCCACGAACAATTTCTGATTGTAGTTCACTGCCTAAAATATTGTTATTTTTTTTTTTTTTAGCCTGCGAGTACATTTAAAGGGCACTACTTACCGATTTAAAATTGCAGTTAATTGCCGAGTGTTCATGCCACTTTATTTTATTCTTTTTCGCTTCACGTTGTATTTTGTCATTTCTTCATTACATGCAGTGTTACTTCATAATTTGTAAATAATGTGTTTACACAACGATTGTATTTTGGGGAGAGTTTTTTTTTTATAATAGCCTATTGCTATATGTTTAGCACTCGATTAAGGAAGTAACAGTGATGTCACTGGCTGGGCTCATTTTTTGAAGCAGACTTTCAAAGCAGCAAATAGCACCTTTTGGAGCAGAAAAACAGGCTTCCAAACCAGATAAAACCGCATTTTAGAGAAAGAAAAAAGGTTTTTAAGTTGCCAAAAGTGCATTTCGAAGCAGGAAAAAAAAGCTTTACAAGCAATGAAAAGCCTAAATAAAAGCAAAAAATAAGGCTGCTGGAGTCGCTGAAGGATCGTTGCTGAATAGAAAAACTAAATTGGTGACAACTAAAGCAGCTGAATAAAGTGTAACTAAAAAGCATTCCATAACACTCCATGCATTGCAGCTAAGACTACTTAAAGCATAACCACGTATATATTGCAGGACCGTTTATATAGCACACTTTTCTTACAGCCTTTTATAATCCCATAAAGGTACATGTATATGTACATCACTTATTGAACAAGCTCCTGAGATAAAAGACCGGTTGTAATGCACCTCGGGCACGGGAGAAACAGCGACGAAAGTACTACGAAAGAGAGGCGACGCGGATCGAACTAACAAGGAGTGGAGCGTGACAAAAACAAAAGGAACAAGATTAGCCAAGTAAAGGTGAAGTACCAGTGAAGCTGGTTGGCTTTAAGTGCTTAACGTGGCCTCTAGGCTGATTCTAGGTCCTTGCTTGGCATGGACAAAGTCAAACCACAGCCTGTCACAGACCATGCGAATTTGTCCGAACTTTAACTCGAAAACTAACGTGCAAATCTGCCGAGGGCCTATCATCGCTGGTACTCCGCTTGCACCATGACAGGAAAATCCGGCGGCGGCTGCTCCTCGGCACATGCGTGGCTGGGTGGCCTGAAAGTTTTCTTTTTCTTTGCAGACACTCGACGTTTTGCCTAGCTTAAAAATAATGCGTCACTGGTGCGCAGCGTGAGGACGGGTAGTTTGGACATCAAAAAAGTCTTTGCTCCAACCGCTTACCGTGTGCGCACTCCGTGCCAAACAGTCGCCCGCGTCCGCGTCATTGAGTGCAATATTGCTCGTGCAACCTCAATTCACCGAAGGTGCTGTGTCTGCAATTGGAAAGGTTTCGCGATGTGTGCTCTCTCCTTTCCCACCAGCAGGTGGACTTGCGAGCGTGGCAGGCTTTAGTTGTCACGACTCTTTCCGCGACACTGTACACAAACTTGGTTCCATGCGTGCTGTCCTCAGCTGAGCTTGTTAGTGCCATTTCGTTTGCATGTTTTCTAGAGCAAACGTCCTGGGGCGGCCCGCCTATTGAGTTCAAAGACCACATGTTAGACCTAACAAGCGCTGAGGGCGTAATTGCCCATCGGTAGCAGCCAACGATGTGCGGTTTTGTGC